GCCAAGACCTGCAGAAACAATATGCAGATGAAAAAGGAAGAGGCAAAGTGGAAAGCTTGAAGGTCAGAGACCTTGTTTTATTAAAATCAAAACTCCTGCCTACACATGCAGCCTCTGCTATCTTCTGGTGGAATCTTCGTCCACGGTTTTTCGAACCGTTTTAAGGTTTGTGGCCATACAGGGCCTGGCGTACACGCTGAACCTTCCAAAACGGATGCGCACCCCCCGGTGTTTTACGTGGGCTTTCTCAAGCCGTACTGGGATCCGGCGCAAGTGAATGCGGAAGCGTTAGCGCCGGAGCGGATCTTACGGACCCGCGGCCACCCAGAAATTGAACCAGCAACTGGATCGGAGCACGGAGTGCAACAACCTTCATTTTCAAGGAGTTCAAGCGCTCCACCGTTGCCTGTAGCGATGCATTTGCCTGCTCCACGGCTAGGATTCGCTCCGACAGAGCGCAGTAGTTCTCAAGGTGAGGCAAACGGCGCATGACGTGCTTTTTTTCTTCAGGATCGTCCGCACAGCGATTTGCTACTTCAGCATGACGCTCAGCGGGGCTCCAGTTTTGAATGACCTCGTCCTCAAGGTCTCGAAGACAATCACGAGTCATCGGACGGCGGTCGACCCGGTCGTCACCGACCCTCACCGACTCTTCTCGATGGGAACGGTGACGTCCGCGATCACGTGGAACGTCGTCCTGGACGACGTCGTCACCAGGGTCAAACCGAATATCTGGTGATGTGGCGGGGATATCCCGGCTCAGAAAATTTGCGGGAGTTTGAGGTGCCACTTCGGCAAGATTGCCCAGTTGCCGTGGACCCATTTAATCGGAAAGATCAGGGCGTTCCGCGTCATCAGACGGCCCGCGCTTCCTGGCAATAGCCAGGGAAGTAGACGGGCCCACGAGCCGAGCTCAAGCAGTGGCCTGAGCGCTCACGGTCAACGATACAGAGCTTGCGGGAGCATTAGGGGTTCACCCATACGTCGCAGGGCGATAGTTCGAAAGAAGTCGACGGAGTGCCTTGAGTTTGGCAATCTCAATGCAGAGGTGTAGCTCCACACGCACGTCCACTCCCTTGTGGCTCAACCGCAGGTTATGCAGGGAAATTTTTCGGTGCCGTTACACCCATCGCTCAAAGAGCGCTTCGTCATCTGTAGTGTTTTCGCCAGTGGCGAGCACCACAGGTATTGTCCGCATTGCGGGTACACGAGAGCCACCTCGTTGTGCACTCAGACAAGTGTGATAAGCTTTTAACGGAAATTTTGGTGGAACCAAGAGTCGAGCTCGAAAAGCCTTCCGTTTACAAGCTCTTCTTCCGTTCTAGCCGGGGGTCCGATGATGTGGGCGTAGCGGTCGAGCTACCGCGTCCTTCGCTTCCACAGCGAGATCCGCAGGGCGGAAGCCATTTTCCACACGAGGGTCAATGACCGACCGTAGATGAGAGCGCTTTAGAGCCGCCTTATGGACAGCTTTAAGCTGCCGCCTCTGTTCCCCGTCGAGGTCATTAGTGATCACATCACATGCCTCAGTTGACGAGAAGTCAGGGAACGGACATGGGGTCCGCAAGACATGAGCAGGACTCGTATCGCATCTCTGGCGCAGCTCGTTTTCCTCGTCATCCCACGCGGAAAACGGAGTGTCAGATCCATAGTCGACCACATCCTCAACGAAGCCACTCGGCACTGAAAGCGTTGCGGAGTGCGACGTTTGTGTTTATCGAGCCTCGGATATACACCCCTCGGTGCTGCGGGCGCACTGTCCGACGTTGCACCGAATGCAGGAGATGATGTTGGGCTCTGCCCATGCTCGCCGTCAGAACCGGCGAGGCTTTAAGATTTTGGTGTCATTGACACAAGGCTTACTGGGCAAGGAAGTTGTTTGTTCAACGACGGGGTTACACGAACCCTAATAACACGGGTGTGTGAGTGTCACACGAGATGTGCATAATGTCACCACACACCCAAACAAGAATACGGTACGGGGTTAGGTAGCCTGTAGTTATGTATGTATTTAGATTTTACTATACATATTTAGTATATTTAGGAAAATTTAAACTTCTAGGATAAAAAGACGAAAAAATCAGTTTCGATTCTTACCAGAAGTGTTTGTTAGCCTTGGTGGAGGCTTTTAAGTACCTTTAGAGGCAGCAGATTGCAATCCGCTGCATTAGTACTTGGTTCTTGTAAAGAACGAAAGGTCGGTGACCTAAACACGCTTCCCCAAGCGCAAAGCTGCGGCAGCCCCGCTGCAGATCGTCCATTATTTATTAAAATACTCATTTTGTTTCATGTTGATTTGCTACCTATACAAAAATGCAGCTAAGTTTATCAGTATCTATCAGCAAAAATACCAAATAATTGTACCATAATAGAAATTGGCGCATCAAGATCGTAGTCAGTTTCTAGCGTTAAGGTGTGTATTGCTCAGAAGAATCGCTATCCTTATCAAGCTCGTAATTCCCTCGACGTAGTGACTTCATTAATTTTAGTCGACTCCAACAATAAGTAGCTGAATTGAGCCTGGATTTATCGACTGCGTCAGCACAAGAGACAGAAGCAATCGCAACGAATGGATATGTACTTTTCACGGCTGACAATAGAACGTGTCAAGACAAGAGACCCAAGAAGGACTCGAGTGAGTCCTGCTACCCTTCATATGCAGGAGCTGCGGGAAACTGGTGCAGTGATATTTGATTTTTTCGCCTCACAAATCGCCCACATACGAAAAGTATCGCTTGCATTCAGCACTAAGAAAGGAACAGTCGATAGAGGTGAGAGAAAACGAACTATGCTATCGACCTGGTCTTACGTTGTGTTTTTTTCGTATTGAGATAGACAGTGTCGCTGTCAAGATCAGCAGTACTAAGCTCGGAACACTCGGGTGTAAATGATTGCAGTTTGATGGTGCTGCAAAATGATCCCGTGGCTGCTCGTATAGAAACTAGTACGCGTATGGACGATATGTATGCGGAAGCCAAGGCGTTAATTAATCCATAAACAGGAGCTGCAGCGTCGTTGCCAGCACTGAGTTGCCTCAGTTGCCACTACAATGTCACATTGGACCCCAAAAAAGGTCCAATTTCATAGTTAACATCGGAGACACCATTAGGTTGCAGTTTGGATCTACAAGAGAATTACTATCAGCAATCATCCCCGTTTCAGATTCTTTCCAGCTTACCGTAAATACTCGGGTGAGTAATTTTAAAAGTCTTGATGATAAGTGATGTAATTATCCTACTTTTCTTCATCATGTAACTCTTGCAAGGCTACTAGGTCGCTTGCAGATGGTGAAACAAAAAATCCGATAGATGTCGGACGCTCAGATGTAACTGGGCATCCAGACGGTCACAGACTCTCAAGGAGGCACATGAAAATAAACATTTTTATTTGGGCGGCAATCTCTTTCCACCAAAGTGGTATATTAATGTCTTGAAAAATTTCTATGGAGGATGGCTGCAACCAATTCAGCACCGTCGGTCTGTCATTCGCGTCATTTATCGCTTCTGGTGAAAAGTAGAAGCTTGCACTTTGATTGATGGTGAACACGTTGACCAAATTTGTAATCAATCTATCGAGGCAATCGGAGCAAAGATGAAGAAAAATTATCATATGCTTTGAATGAAAATTAGATCGAAATGGGAAGATCGGACGTGGCCAGCTTAAATATTTAATCTCTACTTGCGACATTGTAAGTATGTTGAGACTGCTTAAATGGAGAAGATAAAATCCTTGCAAACGGGGCATATACTGGTTGGATGTATTTAAAATCATTAAGGTGCGGGTACTTAAGATGTATGATCGGCCCTTGTACTGAATAAACCTTTTGTTCGTTCAGCTTATTCGAGTGCAGACAATCAAAATTCTGGCGAAAAGCTGGAATATTATTCTGAACATCGCAATATTAATAATACTACTGAATAAATCGTTCCAATCATTTGCTTGATGATAGAGCAAAAATGAGTTGCCTTGAAGCATTCAGGGATAGACGGCTTTTCGTGTTGGAAGCTGGAGCAAGATATTCCTCAACAAAGATACCGTTCAACACTTGATTAAGTTATCATGCTCAATTAAAAACGTAAACGTCTGGAATTAAAACTCCTTACACTTTCGAAACACTTGACTTACAATACGAATTCACTCAACAGAATGAGTCTTGGAATTAGTCGCCTGTACAATTGCATACGTGTATATGCCGATGCAATATCCTTAATTCTCCACTCTGGTCAAATAATGACACACGAAATAGCGGCTGAACTTGATCATCACCCTTGCAACTCGATATTTCATCTCATGGCAAACACATTTGTAAGCTCACTCTTACGATTTTACTTGCACCGTCGTAATAGCAATCATATCATATGACCATGCTACTCCATGATACGTGACACTACCAAATACGCTTTTCCAAAACCAGTCAGAACAATTTAGCATTTGTCGACTTATATTTTGCTAGATATACCACAACCAAGATTCTTCCACCCCGAACTGAACTTAACACACGTTTTGGAGCTCCTGCTCGTTAATGCATTTTAAGCATCATATCCATTACAATCTTTCGTAGTATGTGTCTTCATTTATTTGCTGTAACTATTGCCAAACTTTAGTCGTGCCTGAAACTGCGCTGCTTTAATCTCATCCTGCTTCACAGCATTCACTTAAATATTAGGAGGCAATTTGATGTGCTCCATTTGCATAATTGTTGCCACTATCGAGCACATTTTCCGTCGACCTCATTATTGCACTGTCAAAGTCTGTATTGCTTTGTTTCCATCTGCAACCGTAAATAAGCGTTGTCTCGTTATCAAAATCTCTTAACAGTAAATTAACTCCTTTAAGCATCACGTCTTGCATTGGCGGCCTTTACCTCTATTTGGCGTCATCGCTTACTTGTTCGTATCAGCAGAAGCCGCAATAGTTAAGCATCTCTTTACGAAAATATGTGCTCGTCTAAAGAGTATTGTCACCAGCAGAATCTGCGAATTATGCCAGGTCTCCGCCAATGTTGCCTTAATAGCATTAGTATTAATGATTGAGGTTACATTTTATGGCAACTTATTAATTACACACCTGAAATAATACTTTCTACTACCTGATTCTGCTCAACATATGAGATGTTGTATGTACACAATGGTGACGCTGCCAATCAAATAAGGCTATACGTGCAGCGTAAGAGTCAGAATTAACGTGTGTTGTGCTACTGCAAGCTTTGGAGAATAGGGAGGTTTAAGGCACCGATGCGCGGTTGCACGTGTAACGGGATTACATGTGCGCTGGTATGAAGGGGTGGGTCACACAAGGTGATGTGACCACCAATGGTGTGGCTATCCTTGACGATCCCGCTCTAACATGTTAGTTGCTTGATTGCAGACGGAGCATCGTCTTTCCCATACCGTGTACCTGAGTTACCCTCTGTTCTGAAGGCGTTAAGAGCTATGAGTACCAGTGTGACGGCGAGTCAAATAGAACGGATCAGAAATCTGGCTCATCTCACCCAAACACTATAGAAAAACGTTCATGACATTAGTACGGTCCACCTTATTGTCTCAAATATCAGTGCTGTGCATCTGTGTCGAAGTCCACCTGGACAAGCGGTATTAAGAATTTGTGTTATAATTCTAACTTATATACTTATCACTAGACGTTATTACTAGACGCTTCGCATCTTCTATACAGATGCTGATACGATCGATACATCATATTCACTTATCTCAATCATACAATTGCAGCTCCTACAAATTTCAATATTCTTGATGTGATGGTAAAACCCTAGAAGAAAACCTTATTATGTTCCTGTCTTTCTTGTCCTGATATTTCCAATTTTATACCAAACCACTCTGCTGTAATATATACAATCTGGTCAGTAAGTCAATACAAAGGAGGAGGAGATGTAGGTACTGGCTTGGTACCTACGGTGAACCATAAACACCGTGTAATTAAACTTTGTATTTTGGGGTCATGAACGCTCAGTTATAAATGTGGACCTACCATGCGTTAAGTATTAGGCTTTTTGAAGTGGTGCTGCGTAATGAGAGCTGGACGGGCCAAGGACTCATGGATTGATGACATTAAGGTGATCAATGGTCTGGAGGGCGCATGGGACACGCGCATGAGCTCGGCGAAGATAGGGGACTGACTCGACGAATGAAGACTGGGATCGGCGATTCACGTATGGAAGATCTGATTGGGAGATGATAGAGTGAGTCCTGGATGTGATTGGATCACTTCCAAAACACCCCACGACCATTCATCTTGTCGGGGCGTCGCAGAGAGAAGCTCGAGTGCGGCAGAGGCACAGGGAACAAGAAATGCGCACAGGAAGGTAGCTACGGACATGTAGAAAGAGATGATTGTGTTGCTGCTAACAAATTCACTTCGGCATTTGCCGTCCACTACTCAATAAGGCTATTTTCGCTGGTAATGTGTATGAATAAAATGTAATACTTTACACGTGAAAATAACATATGACAGAATTGAGCGACTTAATCTAACCATATGCCGATGTGGAACTTTGTCAGCTGACGAACTTTGGACGCAAGAAGATTAAAGTACAAATCTGCAAGATTTGGATAAAACACATATATTTTGACATCCGCTGGCTCTGATCACGTTCTTTGATTTCAGCGAAATCATTCAAGTCACTACTTATTTGGCAACTGTAGCGTCTTTTGTGATAGAATTGTTTTGATACCAGCATCAATAATTATCAGCTTCGCTGGTACACCTACATCAATTACTGAAGGCTTTGCTTCGGCGCCAGTATTGGCCATCCTCGGTTTAATATGTACTTTTAGAGTTGATAATGCATTCGAGGACGGCCAGAGTATTTGTCGATCAGCGCTTTTCAAGGATTCGGATGGCTCAAATGTTGAGTCCGTCTGAGCTGATTCAGTTGCTTTTTTGGTAACAATGGCAATCCCATTTAAGATATCAGTAGCCCACGAACCGTTGTCATACATATACGCTTTGCTTCAGCATGACAAACACGATCCTGTGGTCTTTTAATAAGCTCTTATCGGTTGTGGTTCTTTGAGCGAGGGGTATGAAATTTGAAAACAACGTATCTATATTGTGCAAACTATAAAAAAAGAGTACCCAAATTATCGCGTTACTAAGTCACGGCGTTTAATATAAGTACAGATACGATTTTGCTCATTGGGGGTGTATAGATAACGGTCTATAATGCAACGCCAAAACTTGCTTTCAGTTTATGATTCAACTTTTGATTCGCTCTGTTTTGCATATATTTGAAGCTGCTTCCAGATTAAGCAGTTCATTTACCATTCAACTAACCTCTTAGATAATCCATAGCTCTCGCTGAAGCTTTACCAGCTGTCTATTTCTTTCCATTCTGTGAGAACAGACTCTGTCTAAATATAGGTCACATATTTCTCAAATATGATAAAAGCAAGATAAGAATACATGAGCAAGATAAGAATACATGAGCAGCCATATGTGCATAATATATTTTTGAAACAGAAACCTAAAATTACATTTCTATTTCCGCAGGATGCCTTACTTAAAAAAATATAGAATAATTTTTGGCAATAATTCGCAGAACGCGGAAGGCCAGTCGTCTGTAAAGTTGTTGCTCTAGAGTCTTTTGAACGGCCTCATGCCCTCGTTATCGGCTTACTGCAGCGCCATTACTACTACGGATGATTTTGAAGGCCTTCGCAAGCTAAGCAATCTCGCAAAAGATTATCGCGTAGCGAATCAAATCGTTTTTTTGAATGAAGCATTTGACAGAATACAGACTCTGCATTTCTGTCCGAGACCCGACAACAGGAGACGTTGCATCTGTCAGGTGTCACCTCTATGCAGCTGATTAGCTTTCATATAGTTTTGTTAGACGGAGGCAGTAGTTAATGTGAGGTGAAAGTTTGGAAGTCAAACAATGCAAATTAGTTGTTAAATCTCTGGGCCAAGAATAGTCGTTTCAGATACAAACAGCAAGAGTGGCTTAATGTCCCCAAAAATTGGGGGAATGCAACGAATTTAAAGTTGCCAAGTATGCACTAATTGTATGCGCTGCTTCATTCCGCAATATCGTGGGGGCCCTAAAAAATGTCTAGGCATTTTGTGATGCCTTTGATAGTTAAACTAATATTCATGGAGCTTCATACTGCAATGTGAGTGTCCGGTTCTTCCAGCGTTTACAGGTCTAAACCCTCACGTTATGGCAATCCCATTTGAAGGCAGTCACACAGGTGAAGTCATGAGAAAATGGGGAAGAAGCTCTTTCGTGCATTTAGCTGTGGCTGACTGAAAAGATGATCGGATGCTCAGCAGATGGAGCGGTTAATTTGATACGACGATGTCCGTATATCCAATATAATGTTATGGGTTGAGGCTTTAACCGTGTTTGGTTCTTGCTACATCAGATTGACATCATTAGACATTAAAAGTACTCGACAAAGAACGATTTCGCAAGTTGATAGCAGCATATAATGGGCATTTGAGAAAAATGAAAACAATTCTGTGATCAATAGGGTTGTATGTCTTCTTTATCGACAACACTAAAAACTTGATCAGCCTTGCAGTCAGTGGTTGCTGAAACATTGAAATAAATATTTGACAACTTCGAGCGTACTCGCATTGAAGAAAGTAACTTGTCTAGACGCCACTCTGACCAAAATTGGTGGATATTGCTTGAATCTGTCATGTTGTCGACAGATTGCAAAGATGTGCCATTATTATGGCATCGCAATCGGTTGACATTTTTCAGCGAATTGTGAGCTTGAAGAAAATGTCTTTTGATAAAGGTCCAATGCAGAAAGACGTCACTTTGTCCTTAGATGCCAATCAGTACTCTGTTGTTCAATCCTGGCTGTTAGAAGGGAAGAGATCATCAAGTTTTGCAAGACCGGAGAATAATCGCAATCTAGTCTCTCAGGTTGCTCTCTGAGACAGCGCGGGGGGAGTTGATGCCTGTGTTTCTGGCTCCTTCTCGGAATTTTGAGTGAGCTGTCCTCTGCGGCAGTCATTCGAAATCAAACCAATACCTATGCCGTCAAAAAAAATTCACAACAATACCTCAGTATATGATCTAGTTAAGCCCACGTGATTCTTTGGATCTGGTCCTAATTAATCACAGCCGTTTATCTCATTGTTTGTGTGTAAAGAAACGGCTTCCAGCATAAGAAGTATTTTATGCAATAGAAAAGGACACCCGTCTGTAACATGCTACTTCCAGATTCAACGGCACTGCAGTGTTTAATGTTGCCTGGACATTGCCTGTACCAGGAATCGCTTTTTTCATTGTCTGGGAAGGCATATTTCCAAAGGCTGTCCCAGAAGAACTAGATTATTCACATTAAAATAGAAAAAATATAACCCATCGGAGCATACTCACCTCTTTTTCGCTCGAAGGGATATAACATTAGAAATAGCATCTCATCAATTCCAGCTTAACTGCCTCATTTTGCTGATCTTAAGTCCTTTTGCCTTATATATCTTTTACGGACTTAAGGTCATACCGATTTTTACCACAATAAGGCATTTGTGGCGTTTGTCTTACATGCGGAGGCCTCTACATAACCCACTCCTAAAGAAAATGCCTCTATATCTTTGATATCAAGCTAGCTAAAGCACTTCTGCTTCATCCAATACGCCTTTTTAAGCGTGATTGATCAAGCGCGAATTATTTTTTATGTTTGGGCTCTCATGAGTCAGGCTCATTACCAATTCACTCCAAAAAAAGTTGAATTTATCGTATCGCATTTCTTGTATATTTAGATCTTCGTCCCAAGAAAATCACCTTGACTAATGTAGCGTCTGTTGTCTCTGATTTAACATATTTAAGATAATTTTGGTGCCTTGTAGGGAGTGTGACAATGTTTGAACGAAACCAGCATCCACAAAAACGCCGCGCACGAGAGTTCGCCAACGCACTGCCCAGGCCTCACAACTCAGCTCAGAACAGCTTTTTGTTCAGCAATTTGGTTGCGGCGTGGAACTGATGAGTGAAGCGTTTGATCTTGCCCGACTAGCCGGTCACCCCCTCCGTTTATCGACATCGTTGACTACCAAAATACAACAACAAAAAGCAGTCATAGCGCCGACCAATTAATATTCCATTGCTTTGATGACAATATCAAATTCTTCGTTTGCCAGTTCACCCAGCTTCATCTCGCGCACACGGTGCCATGTCGGACCGTGTCTCCGCAGCATCCAGGGATGTCTATCAAAGGCACGACGAGCCCGAGCGTCGCGCTTCGTGCACGCTTACGGTGACGAGCGACCTCGTTGGGAATGAAGAGGTGGTTGACTAAGATTCTGAGACTTCTTTGCCCGCATGCGATATCGAGAAAGACGAGCTGCGCCACCGGCGCGATACGTGCCCTGCTCGCGCCTTGCGAACCACATGTTCGTTTCCTGACTTCTCCTCACCTGAGGAACAAGGTGTAATCACCAATGACCTCGATAAGGCACAGAAGTGGTAGCTGAAGGCTCCCCGTATGGCGACTCTGATGCGCGCCCATCCACGGTCGGTCATTGACCCTCGTGAGGAATATGGCTTCAGCCCTGCGGATTCTGCTTTGGAAGCGAAGGACGTGATAACTCGATCGTTACGCCACCACATCATCTGGCCCTCGGCCTTATGGAATATGATCTTGCCGAACGGAAAGCTCTTCGAGCTCACTTCTTGGTTTCACAAGTATTTCCGGTAGAAGCTTATCGCACTCGTATGCGTGCTCATGGAGCTGGCTCTCGTGTCCCACAATGCGGACGATACCTGTAGTGCGTGCCCTTGGCGAAAGCGCTTCAGATGACGAATCGCTCTTTGAGCGATGGTGCAACGGCAACGCAAAATTTCCTCATTGTATGCCTTACAGTTGAGCCACAAGGATTCGGACATGCTTGTGGAGCGACACCTCCGATTTGAGTTTGCCAAACTCCGTTGACTTCCTTCGGATTGTCGCCCTGCGACGTATGTGCTAACAACTTAAACGCTCCCGCAAGCTCTGTGTTTGCGACAGCAAGAGCTCAGGACCACTGCTTGAGCTCAGCTCATGACCATTCTACTTCTCTGGCTATTGCCGGGAAGAGCGGGCGTCCCCATCTTTCTGGTCAAAAGCGTCCACGGCGTCTGGGCAATCTTGCCAAAGTGGCGTCTCAAACTTCCAGGAGTCTTTGCAGTCGGGATATCCCAGCCACTTCACCAGATATTGAGTCTGACCCTGGTGATATCGTCGTCCCAAACGACATTCCACGTGATGCTGGGCATCACCGTTCTCGTCGAGAAGAGTCGGTGGCGGGCGGTGACGACTGGGTCGGCCGCCGTCCGGTGACTCGCGGTGCTCTTCGAGCCTTTGAGGACAAGGTCCTTCGTAACCGGTGCTCCGCTGAGCGTCATGCTGAAGTAGCATATCGCTGTGCGGACACTCTTCATGATTTTGAGTGCTTCGTGAACCAGCTGCCTTGCCTTGAGGACTACCGCGCTCTGTGGGAGCGACTCCTTGCCGTGGAGCAAGCGAATGCGTCGCTGCAGGAAACGGTGGAGCCCTTGGCTCCATTAAAAATGGAGGTTGTTGCACTCCATGCTCAAAACCAGTTGCTGGTTTAATTTCTTGGTGGTCGCGGGCCCGTGGGATCCGCTCCGGTGCCAACGCTTCCGCGTTCACTTACGCCAGATCCCGGTACGGCTTGAGCAAGACTATGGAAAACACAGGGTGGGAGTGCATCCGTTTTGGAAGGTTGGGCATGTACGCCAGGTCCCGTTTGGCAACGACCTTAAGCAGTTCGAAAATCGTGAACAAAAATTCGTCCTGAAGACAGCAGAGGCTGCATGTGTAGGCAGGTATTTTAATTTTATAAAACCAGGTCTCTAACCTTAAGGCTTTCCACTTCGCCTCTTCCTTTTTCATCTGCATTTTCTTTCTGTAGGTCTTGGCTTTTAGCCATCGCATCGCGAACGTGTCGTAGGACACTCAGTCCGGTAGACAAAAAGTCATCGACTTCTTTACGGATGGTGAGGGGCCTGACATCAGCTAGCCGTTCGGCTTTTCCTCTCTCATCTAGCCCTGAGCCAAAGGATGGCGGCGTCAGCGGGACGCTAGGGTTAACTAGCCCGCTATTGAAGAACGGCGTGTAGCCGGTAGACGAATGCACTGCATTATTCAGCACAAACTTTACGAGTGGC